GCGCGGCGCCCCCCGGGCCCGAGTGCCCCCCTGGCTTTTCTCTCTCTCTCTCTCTCTCTCTCTCTCTCTCTCTCTCTCTCTCTCTCAACAACAACGACAAAAAAATTCACAAATTGTCTTGGGAACAGTGGTGCACACCTGCAGTTCCAGCTACTTGGGAGGCTGAGGCAAGAGAATTATGACTTCCAGGACAATCTCAATAACAGCCATCAGCCCCTCTTCCCTAAAGCTTTGCAAGTTAGATAGCAGATTCACATTTGAGTTTTTTTGTTGTTACTGTTTTGCTATTAAAGCAAATTTCTTGTGCTCCCCCCCACACTTGCCTTCTGTTTCCTATATTTTTTTGATACACACGTCTTTTGTCTCACCAATTTTCATTGGTGCTTTTCAAGTTTTGTATAATACTGTTCTCAAAGAGAAAGTTACTGTGAAATGGATGTACTTTGAGCTAGTATTTAAGAGCCAATGTGAACCCTTGTATAGCAATACTTTAGCTACAAATGCTTCTTCTGAACCTAGGAGATTTTATTCTGGATAACATGTAGCACTCAAAACCAATTTTAAGATCATATAAAACATGTTTTAAATGGTAATCCCCCAATTTATCTTTATTTATGGGCTTAAAAGGGGTTCAGATTACTATAATTATTGTGTAAAAGTGATAGGAGTTATTTTATTTTACAGTTGTTTTTATGGTGAAATAATCCTTCAATATTTTGTTGAGATAATCATTCATCTCTCTTTGCCATCTGTTCATTATTGTTTTCACAGATGTTTTATTAAATTAATTAGTTGCAGTGGAGGGCATAGGATGCAGGCCTTGCACATACTAGCCAACAGATTTACCACTGAACTGCTTCTGATTTTTTTCTTTAAATTAAAGTTGAAAAAACATGAGTTTGGGTTGTTAAAATCGCTACTGTTTGCTTCTTACTCATTTCATCTTGTCAATTTTAGAAATTTTGCTAAGATATTTAAAGGCACTTGGAATACTGTTCTTCCTTCTGATTCTCACTGTGGAGTTTCAGTGATGTATGAATAATTAGTGGTTCTTGGGAAAGCATTGGAAAATGGCTTTTTGGCTCGATTCCCTGAGTAGAAAAGGCTATGAAAAGTCTTCCATCTGCTTGTCCATCTGCCTGTGACGTAGCAGTTTGTGAGAGCTGAGTATTGAGCCTTGGTTTAAATAAAAATGCTCTGTGAGGAAAGTGGGGAGAAATGTATTGACCAATTTTTCTCATTCTGAAGAGAACTGCCCTGCCCCATGTCTGTAATTAATATTTCTGATTACTGTTTGAGTTTTGTTTTGTTTTTTTTTTAATTCAGAGTGCTCTTACTTGCTTTTGAATGTGGGTCTTTATATTTTCATGTTTAGAGTTTTGTCGTTTTTGGTCTCAGTGAAAATCCTTTGATTTATCAAATATATTTGATATATTTAGTAATCTTTTTTAAAGGGAAAATTTACAAACAGAAGACTGAATTTGTAGTACTCACTAATAAAAAGGTTACTGCTTTGATTATTGCTTAGCCAAACAAACAAAAATCACAGTTCAGCAACCCAGTATTAAAACTAATAACAATCCGAAATCTAAATTACTCCTGAATTTATTTTCAATTATTTATTTGGTTTCTGCCACGTCTAACAAAAATAGTGAAGAATCTGAAAAAACTACAAAATTTCTGCCTTATAAAATAACTATCCCTCCTCTCACTTCCTTTCCTCTTCTCTTCCTATTAGGGAGAATGTAAGAAATAATTCAGTTAAGAAGAAGTCATAAAGCATTCACAGGATGCATCTGCACTGTTTCTGTTTAAAGTGTATGTAGTAATGAGGGGCATACAACTCAGCTTTTCCGAAGTACTTTTTGAGAGCCTACGTTTCCTCTTTCAGGGCTCTGCAGCATCGTGCTGATGTGTCCTGCCTCTGGAAGCTCGTTGGAGATACTTGCACCAGTCTGCATGCTGTTTCACCATCTAAAGTGAATGTTCATGTTCTAGGGGTCCTTCTAGGTCAAAAAGAAGGAAAGCAATTATTAAAGAAAGATGAGCTCCTCCATCTTGGTGGAAGGTAATTTACAAAGATTACCAGTCATTGACATTCAAGTTGAATGAGAACATAAGAAAAAAACCTCAAACATACCATTTATTCATTTTTTTTTTCCGTAGGTGTTACGGCCGTGCGTTAAAACTGATGTCTACATCTAATACATGGTGTGATCTTGGAATCAATTATTATCGCCAAGTCCAGTGTCTAGCAGAAACAGGCAGCAATACGAATGACCTTAAAGAGTTGCTAGAGAAATCTTTGCATGTATGAGAAATTTTTTTATAAACTTGCAAAAAACAAATGATTTTATAAAAGATGTTATTGATCATACTTTATTCTTTTTACATCAAATCACATTTATTCTTTATGTAAATGCTAGTATTCAAGAAATAACCTAATTTAACTTCTTTTCAGTGTCTGAAGAAGGCAGTAAGGCTGGACAGTAGCAATCACTTATACTGGAATGCTCTAGGTGTAGTTGCCTGCCACAGTGGTGAGGAGTCTATCAATTCAGCATTTTGCAAGATTTTTTTTCAAGTAGCAAAGTTCAGTTACTTCAAATTCTTTATGTTTCAGGTCTTGGAAATTATGCCCTTGCTCAGCACTGTTTTATCAGATCGGTCCAGGCAGAACAAATTGTAAGTGTTCTGTTTGTCTCTGAAAAGGAACTGAAAAATTTAATATACTAATTTTTGTTTTAAATTTATTTATTTATTTATTTATATTGTGTGTGTGTGTGTGTGTGTGTGTGTGTGTGTGTGTGTGTGTGTGCGCGTGTGCATGTACGGCGCTTGTGGCACCCAGAAGACAACTTTCTGGAGTCTGCTACCTCCTTCACTGTGTGGAACTTGGGGATTGAACTTAGGTGGTCAGGCTTAGCAGCAAGTGCCTTTACCTGCTGTACCTGCAGAGCTACCTCTCCAGCCCAAGGCAGGGTGATCTCTTTTTTTGCTTTTTTTTAACTGTTGTTATGTGTACTCCTGGCTAGCTGGCCTGTGAGTGTCTGGGTGTGCCACTGCATCTGAGTTTTTAGGTGGATTCCAGGGAGCTTCGAAGCTCAGGTCGTCAGGTTTGCAAGGCTAGCTCCTATGCCTGCTGAGGTATCTCTCGGACACCAGTATACTAATTTTCTGAAACTTTCAAGCAGAAGAGGAACCTTCTTTTTTCTTTAATGTTTTTTATTTATTTTGACAGTTTTAATCACATATCCTGTCACTATACTGTATTACCGTACTTCCTCTGATCTTCTTCCCCTTCATCTTCCCAACAAACCTCCTTCCTATCTTCACTTTTTGTTGTTTTTTTTAATGACTGACTGAGTTTAATTTGTATTGCTTGTGTGGGGTGTGGGTATGGAGTTATTTGCTACAGCATGGGCAAAGTTTCCAGTGGCTACACCACTGAAGAAAAATGGTTCCCCATTCCCCAGCAGCTGTTAGCTCCTCAGCTAGATAGGGAACTTCATGAGCCCCTCCTTGATCTACAATGTGTGTTGACGTGCTCCATCTTGTACTGGTCACCACAGCTGCTGTGAGTTCATGTGTGGAACTGCCATGTCATATCCAAAAGACTGAGTTTTACATCATTCATCCCCCTTTTCTGGCTTTTATAGTCTTTCCACTCTGCCTTCGGGGATATTCCCTGAGCTGTGGAAGTGGTGTGGTGACACAGTTGTCCCATTTAGGGCTGAGCACAACAGTTATTTATTCTTAGCATTATGAGTAGTTGTGAGTCTCTGCATTAACTGGTACTGACTGCAAAAAAGCTTCTCTGACTGAGGCTTAGAAGACTCATGAGACTATATGGGTCTCCTAATTTAAAAATTTGTCTTTTAGAATGCTGCCGCATGGACCAACTTAGGAGTGTTATACCTTGCTACTGAAAACATTGAGGTATTGTTGCCAGTTTTGATGTGTTAAAGAATATTTTCTATATATGACTTTGTGGGGAAATACTTTAGATATTATCCAGTACCCTGTCAAATATGATAATTAGTTGATGACAATTTATTATGTTGAGTAATGAATATATAAGATTTTTTCCTTTCATGAAACTTCCGCCCACACTGTTGACTCATTTTTTTTTTCTTTTCTTTTCTTTTCTGAGACAGGGTCTTGCTTTGTAGCCCAGGTTAGACTTGAACTCACTATGTAGCCCAGGCTGGCCTGGAGCAGTTGTCCTACCTCAGCCTCCTTATTTGGGTTTTGTAGATGAAAACAATTCTCTTATGAATTAATTTGGCAACTATACCTACAACTGTAAGAGAAATCCTTTGTACACTGTTCAGGCTGAGTGGGTGTAGGTAAGGGAGACAATTTAGTATTTTCTATAGCTTAAATTTAACCTTTGATTTTGTAACTTAGATTTTAGCTTTAGCAAATATTAGTCCCTTTAACACAATGTCATTTTTATAGTTGAGCAGTTACACATTAGAGAATTGGAACCTAAGTAACTAGGAACATGTTCATAATTTGGCGTTTGGCAAGTTTCCAGACGTCTACAATAGTACCACATCTGCATTGTCTGCTGTTTAGTCAGCGTGTCGAATCTCATCCTTTAAAAGAAACACTTTCATAGTATTATTAAGAATACATTAATCACTCACTGTAAAGACAACCAACTTTGGAAGATTGTAAATAGATAAAAGAAAATCTCAATTTAGATCTTAAAGTGTATGAAGTGCTATACCAAGCACTTTCTTAGTGATTTGATTCCCAGGACCACCAAATAAGTAAATCATTCAGTCAACAAGTAAATAATTTAATATTTTTAAAAGTTTAAATCAAGTCATGTTTTAGTTAATCTACTACTAGAAGTTTTATTATAGCTGGCATTAGTTCATTGTTGTCCATGAGCTTTTTTTTTCATAGAAAAAAATGTCTTTCTCTTACTACCACCTGAATTACTGGGAAACAATAGAAAACAGTATGGAGTAAGTTGTATTGTTTTTTAGATGGGGCTGCAAGCTAATATTCAAAGGGAGGCATCTTTAAAGCTTCTTTACTGCCTAGTGCAGAATTATGTTGTTGATCAGTAGTGGGTTCATGTCTACAGCTGCATTGATTTTAAGTTCTTATTCTCAGCTTAAGTTTATGAAAATTTACTTGGTTTGATATTTTGTTGCTTTTTTTCCCCTAGCAAGCTCATGAAGCTTTCAAAATGGCTCAGTCCCTTGATCCATCTTATTTATTGTGCTGGATTGGTCAAGTAAGATATGTAACAGTTATGAATAAACATATCACTGTCAATAGCTTGTTCATATTAATAGCAATGATGATGATACCAGGTAGCATTTGAAAGCTTGTGCTTTCCAGTCTTTGTGCTTAGCTTTGCAAAGAGTATTTTAGTTTATCTGTTATCAATCCTTTGAGGTGTGGCTTTAAATTGAGAGACCCTGAATATTGTGCATAAGGTCACACAGCTTGCAATCATTAAACTTTAAATCCTATGAGTCTGATATTACTTTGCCTAAAAAATAAACCCAGAACTCTTACTAGACTCACATTTACAAAGTCAGTACACGTTTATGAAGATCATTTCATTTACTGTTTTCTCATTTTCTGTAAAAATCTTTATTGGATTGGGCATTTAGGAGTATTTTCTCCTCCCCCCATGTTTAAATTTTTGTACTGCTAAATAGAATCAGGGTATTTGTTACCAGTCTGAATCTGTCACTGATTATTTTAATCATATCACTTCAATAGATTTTAATTTTCTCACTTGAAAATCAGTGAAGTGATGACCTTGAATGTCTTGTCTAGTTGAGAAATTATAATGAATCGCTAAGTAGTCAATAATTTTGGTTCAAATAATAAGAGTGTCATCTATATCAGAAAAATCATTAATCAGAGATTAGATATCTTTTATGGTATTTTTGTTTGAGTCTACTTCAAGTTACCTGGTGAAGCGGAGATAGAGAGGCAAACTCCTGATCTCATTAGACACAGTAGCACCTGGGAACATGGCCTTGCTGTGCTGTTCATAATCCCAGGGTGTATAGGAATTTGCATTTCTGCCTCATGTCAAGTATGATAGTAAGACCCATCTAGGGCACTTTGTGTTGCTCTAAGTCAGTAGATATTATCATAGTTCCATTTAAAACTTTTTTAAAAATTAAATTTTTTTTCTATTGTGAAAGTATTTTTGTTTTTAAAAATCATTATTTCAGGACACAGCTGATAGATTTCGTTAACAGTGGTAACAGTAGAAGGGAAACAACTTCATTTAGAAACATATCTAGTAAACCTTTGGTTCTTCTAGATCTATTTATGACCATTATTTTTCTTTTCTTCTTTTTTTTTCTTTTTTTGGTCTTTTTGAGATAAGGTCTCCGATTAAGATTGAGATGTTTTATATGAAATACACAAAAAAATTCAATAAAAACAAATTTAAAAAAAGAATAGTGGACATGAAGTTTGGGGGTAGTAAAGTGGGGGGCTGGAGATGGGGTAGTGAGTTTGAATGTGATCAAAATACATTGTATGATATTATCAAAGACTCAATAAAAATGTTTATAATAATTTAATTATTTAATTCTTTTATAGGCTCTTATTGCAGAGGCAGTTGGAAGTTATGACACCATGGATCTCTTCAGACACACCACAGAACTCAGTATGCATGTAAGAATTTGTGCATTCTTCTTGAAGATTCATTAATGAGCAGAAGGTTGTCCTTGTTAAGAAAATGAATAGAGGCAAGGCATGTGGGAGGTGGAGACAGCAGGATCAGAAGTTCAGAGTCATCTTCAGCTACATAGTAAGCTTGGGATCCCATCTCCTAAAACTAAAAAACAAAAAACTAAAAAACAAAAAGCAAGAAAATAGATAGGTAATGGCATAAAAGTATAAGGTAGTGTGAGATGTTAACATTGCAGTCATTCTGCTCTGCCTTAGAAGTAGATAAACCGTCTTCATCTAGAACTTGTGGTTTTCATTTTTTATCAACATCAAAGCTGATGAAATGACATTGAGATTTAGTATGTGCAATACTAGTAATGTTAAAGGGAAATTGAGACTTTAACTAAAAAATGGACATGAGATGAAGACTGTGTTTAGTTGATAGTTCTAGATTCTGAAAATGTTTTGGAATTGTGGGAATGGTGCTAAGAAGGGGAAACCAACCCATCTGGCAAGGCTGGCTTTCTACACTGTCTTGTATGATTCTTCTGCTCAGGATTGGAGCAAGTTATCTAAAATTGAGCTTACTCTGTTTATCATGACTGCCTTTTATTTAAAGACACTTAAAGAACACCAAGCTATGATACTTACTGTATCGAAGTGCATTGTTTTATTTCTTAGTTTTCATTGACATATCTATTTCCTTATGTCCACTTACTTTGGCTTTTTAAAGACTGAAGGAGCAATAGGTTATGCATATTGGGTCTGTACCACCTTACAAGACAAAAGCAACAGAGAAACAGAGCTCTACCAGTACAATATCCTCCAGATGAATGCTATTCCAGCAGCACAAGTTGTTTTGTGCAAATATGTAGGTAAGATAACCTGTTATATAATGGCACAGTATTGGACTACTGAAATGACTCAAGAATTTTTAAAATTCATTCATTTTAAATTAAATATTGTTTTTTCATATGTAAATACATGTGCCCTTTTGTTGCTGTTTCCAAAAAGTCTGCCTTTTAAATCATCTTAAGGGTTTGTAAAGAGTGATTGAATTTCCTTTATTAGTTAGTGATTCAAGATTTCCTTGTGAGGACGAGGTGTATTAAAGGTTAATGGGTCTGAGTTGCTGTTATTGCTACTCACTGTGTACTTCCTTTTCTGCCTTGGGCCTCATATTTTACTTCTCTTAATTTTTCCTTCATTTTTGGAAAGAGGAGATCACTTCCCTTGGTTGTAATTAGGAGAATTAGACAAGATAATAAACATGCGAATCTAAGCCCAAACTTCTGATTTTTCTGTAAGATAGTAGAAGAATACATTTAAGAAACTGGCAGTATGGTAAAGTTTATTAACTTTCTCTGGTAATAACTTCCTGTCTTTTGAAATAAAACTACTATCAGGTTTTCAACTGTGTTCCACTACTTAGCAGTCATTGAATCCTTAAGCATACTATAAAACCGAATTTTAGGTTTCTTATCTGTAATGTAAGAAGGAAAAGTATCTGCTGCTTAGGATTTTAATGAGATGAGTTGGACAAAGTGTTATACTGAGTCCCTGGCAGGGGTAATTATAACAGAAAGTACTAGCAACTGAATAACGTGAAGTAAAAGGAGAAGAGAAAAGGGTTATTTCAGGTACTGAGGAGACTAGTTCTCTTTGTGCATTTAGGTTCGTCACTTATTTAGAAGGTAATTTGTTTGTGAGCATCACCACTTTGGGGCATTATCGCGTTTTGAGGTGAAATGAAAGACTAATAAATCCCTAGAGCTGAGAAATCTTATTTATGAGTTTTTACCTCATAAGTAATTTAAGGGATTTATATAAAGAGGTAAGTCTTTAGCTTTTGGTAAAATGCAGATTGTGCATGGCTGTTTTTTGTTTAACTCTATAGTGGAACTATTATATAGTCATTAAACAAATGCTATGTGCTTGTTTGGAAGAAAGAAAATAAAAATAGAGAATAAAAAGAAAAGCAAAATAGAAGCAGAAAAAAAAGAGAGGCTAATGAGGGGATATAAGACCATCCCTTGTCATTTCGATGGTTTTGTAATCCTATTCTTGTATGGTGACTTTAGGGATTTTTTTTTTTTTTAACTATTTCTTCTTTTTCTTTTTCCATAGAATTTTTGCAAATATCATATAATACATCTTGCTCATATTTCGACCCCACCCCATCCATGATTTTTTAAGAATGATTTTGATTATGATTTTCACCTTGAACCCAACCCTCACATAAAATATGTATTTTGATTGTCCTTTGTTAAAAATTTAAGGGATTTGAAGACCTGCTCCTAAAAGCTAGTATAGCAGCTTTCAGTAAATTAAATCAGGTATATTTTTCTTTCTTAAGTGTACCCTAGTAGTGTTTTGACATTAAATTTGAAAATACTGCATTGAAAGTGCCCAGATCATCTCTGTTCTTAGTGTAAAATACTGAATTATTTTTTAGAACATGTAGAATTTGGAACAGAGTCACCAAGAGAAAATTGTTACTAAATTAAATCACAGGAAAGTTTAACTGATTAGCCAAAAACTGGATTTTTTAGTAAATTTCAGGACTAGTTTTAACTTGATTTACAACTTCAGATTTTTTTTGCCTTAAAGAAAAAAAATTTAAATTTAAAACATAACTAGAAATCATGTATAACTATTAAATATTATTCAGCAATTTAAAAGAATTATAAAATACTTAATGGTATATTCCAGATAAAATTAGATTATCACTTTTAATAATAGCAATGATCTTAATAGGTAATCTCATGTTGAAACAAAAAAGGGGAATTAAACTTTTTTAATGAACATAACCAGTACATACATATAAATTAATAATATTTGTTGCTTTCCAGAAAGAATTCAAAATTATGCCCCGGCTTTCACAATGTTGGGTTACTTAAATGAACATCTACAATTGAAAAGGGAAGCAGCAGATGCATACCAAAGGTAGGCGACGCTGGACTGAAATACATCATTGTTTTATTAGATAGTCTTTTTAAATTTAGTGTCTTGAAAAAGGAACCAATATTGTGATCCCGGTCCTCACTGAATATTAGTGTGTAGAGGGTGAAATGATAGCAGTCCCAAATTTTCAGCTGTATTTTGGGTTCTGTTGGGTGGGGAAGGAGGGACCAACAAGAGAGGAATAAAACAAAACCCCCTAGATTCTGTTTTTTTAAAAAAGTCTATCCCTAAAATCAAATGATGGCATGAATATTTACTTGGCTCACCGTAGTGTCTACTTTGGTGGTGGGAGATAATAAACCAAGAAATATCTGATTAATAGCAATTGCTAAGAAAGAATTAGAGTTGCGTCAAGGGCCAGAGAATGCAGGCAGAGGCAACTCAGGTAGAGTGAAAGCAAGTGCTCCCAAGCAGAAGTAGCGTGGCATATTTAAGAAACAAAATCCAAGTGTATTAGAATGAATGAACAGCCTGGAGAGTGGTGGGAAATGAAACCAACTAGTTTTGTTCTCTGTAAGATAATGGTAAGTGAATAAAAATATAACTATTGATCTCATGAGTAATTACAAAATGAAAAGTTAAAGAGCTGATTGCCTAACCTGTGAGGCACATCGCTACCTCAACTCTAAGTAAATATTTAGAAGATATCTGATTAGATCTAACTAAAGTGTCCCAAGTACTTTGCTGCATCCTTTTGTGTATGCCTGTGTAGTTCAAAGGAATAATCACTAGATGGTACTGGAGGCTGTGTAATGAGGTTTTTTTTCTAGGTGATGGAGGTTTATCAGAAACCACAGTTTTCTTTACAGTGTCAGTAAACTCATCCATGTTACAGAATTTAACAGTGAACACATAGGGCTGCTGCTTTTTGCACCTGCTCTTGTTTTTGTGGACATGGTAAATCTAACATTGACTTCACCCTAGTCTTCAAGTGGAGACTCCACAGTCACTTGAATATATACTACTACTTTTTTTTCCCTGACTTTACTTTTTTTACTTTTTAAATTGATCTTTTTTTTTTTTTGGCAAATTTCATACAATGCCATATAATATTTGAGGCTTGAAACCACAAATAATGCATAATTAATCTCTGTAACATATATATTCTTCTTAGCAAATTGTTTTCCATGTAACATCGAGGGGGATAAAAAATTCCCTATCTTGAGTATTTTTCCTGGTGGGTCCTCTTT